GAGCCGCTCATCTGAGCTCGGCCCCCCAAAAAGGCCTACGACTGGATCTTCCGCGATCCCTCCTGGCTCCTGAGACCCGGCGCCCGTCTCGAGGCGGCCTTCGCCCAGCGCGACTAGCGCACGCGCAGCGCATGCTCATCAGCGTTTCTATACACGTCTCTCTCTCTCTCTCTCTCTCTCTCTCTCTCTCTCGCTCGCTCGCGATGTGCCCATGTCATGGCAGGTTCAGATGCGCCACAGCAACGCCATCCTTTGGTCGAGCCGGGCGCTTTGCTCTCTTCCGTTGCTGGCGGCTGGGTTTGGGGGCATTGTGAGGCTGGTCCAGCAGCAGCAGCATCTTGGTATCAGTCGCACCGCCGCGGCCGACAGGAGCGCTGTTCCTGGAGGCATCCGGTCTCTCTGTCGAGCGCCGGTTCACAATGCAGCAGTGCGCTGGTGCACAGGTTTGCACGCTTCCAATCCAACGCGCGATAAACCAGCACCAACTCCTGTAATGTATGTATGCACCACCTCACCCAAGTTCCGTGTCGGCATTGGCTGTACATGGTCCACGGCTTCAAGACCTTGTGGCATGAAACAAGTCAGACCAGAACCACAGAAACCTAGAGAGATATTGATAAAGTATTCAATCACGTTCAGCAGTTGCTATGAACGACGAGTTTCTAGAAGACTATATTATGTTGTTTGCTAAGCAGAAGGATAGGATAATGATAGAAATACCTGTTCATAGTGTGCAAGTATGATGTAGTTACGTAGTTACAATTCATGAAATGTTACGGATTACAACTTGCTACCTTTGCGCCAAACCTAAACCCTATTATTGCTTTGTTTACTGGAAGTGGCCATTTCCATGTTCGCGGGTTAGGGCTGAGGGTGCTTTTCGGGAGTGCTTCAGGGTATGGGGTTAAGTTGGGAGCGTTGGGTTGGAGGGGCGAGGGTTGATCATGGATGATTTTCAAGATGCTTTCTTGGGTTGGGGCTTGGGTTGGGAAGTTGAGGGCGTCATTGATGGTTTTTCAAGGTGGTTTCTTAGGTTGCAAGTATAGCGAGGCTGACATGGTTCAAGAATGGAAATGGTCTCTGCTAACTGACTTTGAGGTGGAGAAATACAGACGGAGCGTTTAGTTGTCTTCCCTGGTCCTGAGCTTCGCTTCGGGATGTTCCCGGGGTTTCCGTTCTCGAGAGGATGAGGAGGTGCAAGATGAATGCGTCGGGAGATAGTACTGATTGGGCATGGGTCTACAGTTCTACACATTGATGTTCCGCTGCAACTGTTATCTCCCTCTCCAGTCACCTCACATTACAGCCTCATCACAGATCAAAGCTCCAACCAACAAGACACGTTATCATCGCCCTCCCACCCGCCACCTCACCAACAAAGGGTTGTGATGCACCGCCCGCAAGCACATGATTATGACCGCCCCCCACCCCCCACCCTCCCCCCCACCAACACGTGGGCCTATGTGGCCATGGTTGTGATTCACCGCCTTAGCTCCGCCCCACCCCAAACCAAACACCAAGTGCCGAAGGAGGTGGGCACAATTCACGGGGCTGCCGGATTTAGTGATGTCCCATCTTGCCGACTGGTAAGTTTGAGATAGCGCTTGAGAGACTGAATAGCTCGAGCGCAGTTCTCTGCGATAGACGATGCGTCGTCAGGAAGTGTCGGAGTACTCGGCGACTTTGTGCTGGCCACGTTGTTCGCCCGGGGAGTCGTCCCTGGCAATGCTGGACAACGCTTCGTGCAATTTGTGTGTGCGTGTTCGTGTGTGTGTGTGTGTGTGTGGAAATCCGGTTACCAAGAACTTTGAGGTTGATAATTCTAATTTCAATATATTGGCTGAAAGCAAGTCAAGAAAGCCTATTCCGTGATGCCAGCCAACGAAGCTAGCGGAATAGGTGGAAGGAGCTATGGACGCATAGCTCTGTACCTGCCAATGTTTCCCTCCCTGAAGAGTTTTACACATACATATGATGTATGTATGTATGTATGTATACATTTATATATATATATATATATGCCTTGAGGTTCTTCAAATATTGCAAGTATTGCAATTCCTCAAAATTCGACAATCTTGATCCTCACTCAGGCTTCACAGGCTCCCATCCAGTGAATGTTCAGTTTATTTGCAAGAAGAGAAAAGAGATGAGGATGATGAACTTCAGAAGATTCACGACAACTGGCATCGACCGGGGTCTACAAGTGTGTTGGCCGGCTGGTAAATTTGTCAAATCACAGCCAAGAAGCATACCCAACAATGAAGTTGATTACATTCTGGTATTAGACCAGACTACTTTCCAGACACCGTTGATCCTGAAAGGCGAATGAGTCCCCAGAACACCCAATTCCAGAAAGTACCCAAGCATCCTTGACATGTCTTTTGGTGTGTCAGCGTAGTCGCTAAGCTTACCCAATTTTCTTCAACACTGAAAAGTGAACCCAGTACGCAACAAACGTTTGATGTTTCAAAGCTGATCCAATTATGATGCTTACCCAGCAAGCGCCCAAGAAGACAAGTATCGCCACCCAAGAAACACCCAAGAAGACGAATATCGCCACCCAAAAGGCACCCAGCGTCTTTCGATTTTCCTGAGGTTTCTCTTCAAGGTCTGTGTTTCGTGTTGGCCGCGGTTCCTTTCAAGTTGCAAAGGTTGTCAGGTTTTCCTGCACGTTTTACCGTCAGCTTGGGCGCTCAAATTGGAATCGCTGCGGTTGTTTCAAGAACCACCAACTTCTTTTATCCCTGCCTCAACACATGTTCTTGGTCTTCATTTCCATCCTACTACAGTTGCTTAATGAATTTTTAGTATCATCGATTAATGAGCTATGGCACCGATCTTTCATTTTTATTTCTACGAGCAGTCTGGCGACCGCTCGAGCAGTCTAGCGAATGCTCGTCACGCAATGTGCCTCAACAATTGGGGCGTCCCGACATGGACCGACATGGACCGATCGAGGAAGCCTTTCTGCCAATCTTTGTTTCGGATGTTTCTAAGCTGAAGATTGAGTGCCCTGACGATTGAGTGCCTTGAACATGCGCGCCAGGCTTGCTGATGTGGAATCAGGTGCTATTCCGAGCGCTATCCACAGTCCTGAGACGCATCCTGCTGAACTCCGAGCTAAGCAACTCTTGACTTGTGGAGGCAGCGCTAGTTGCCGTGCTGTTCGCAAATTATTTGATCTGGTTGAAAAGGTGCCCGCTTCTAGAGGTGATCAAGGCGAATCCTGTACCACTGGACTTTGTCGGTTGGGTGGAGCTCTTGGACTTAGGGCTTCATCCCGTCAGTTCCCTTTGGTTGCACTCAACAAGTTTGCTTGTGCTAGGATTCTGTAGATGTGGTGTGTCAATGCACATGTTGCTCTGCTGCTTGTGAAGGCTTAGTCTTGCAGACGTGCACAGTTGTCATGCAAGCTAGCACAGCATTTAATTCTTGCAGACTTTGCATAAGTGTAGTCATGCAGACTTGCACAGCCGTCATGCAGATTACACGACTGAGGCGCTTGTGTGAAAACCGGTTAAGACCTGTGCCTTTGATCATGGGCTTCGGTGCCAGCTATCTCATCCTGTGATTTACAGGTTATGAGTTCCCAAGCTCAGGAGGTGTTGGAAGCTGGCCCTCGTTATGGATCCTCAGGAGCAGCTGACAACCGTGAAGGTCAGGGCCTTGTGAATGGCCCAAGTGCTCCGAGGACTGCTGTTGCAAGTTATGGCTCTGCAGAAACGACCCGTGATGGGCAACAGGACTGCGGAGCTGCATCTGTGTCAGAGCTGGAAGCGCGTGAGAATGCACAAGACATACAAGACGCACAAGGCATGCACCACGCACCTGCGCGCACAGAGCAGCAACCCCAACAGCAGCAGCAGCTAGCAGCTTCATCGAGCCCTCCTGGAACTGCGAGTGCTTCGCTACGACAAGAACAGCCACAACCCGATCCTCCTCCTCGCCCTTTTCCAGAACCTTTGCGTCCGGAACAGTATGTACAGGCCTTTTCCCCAGCAAGACCTCAACTACTACAACCTCAAGTTATTGAAAGCACTCAGAGTGTGACGATGAGAGTGGAGACTTCGCCACCAGAAGAGTTGCCTGGGCAAGAGGATTTGAGGGGAAATCAGTCTGTTTGGATGGTTCGTTTGGGCGAGTTCTTCCAGAGGAGGGTTAACCAAGCGGCTGCGGCGGTGGCACCTGTGCTTGAACGACCAAGTCGGGGTGCACTCACGAGGCCGTTTATGACCCCGCCCTCGAGCTGGACGGCACCTTCTCCGAGGGCACAGGCGGCACCGTTGTTCGATGCAGAGGCCACGAGGACTATGCAGCAATGGCCCCAGCAGGCTCCTCTTCTTCATGGCAGGGGAGTAAACAGTGGGGGACCACGTGATACTGAGTCGTCCTCGGGGTCCTTGACGCAGGATCAGATACTGGCGGAAGTTCGAAGGCAGGTTCGTGAAGCTATGGGTGCTCATCAGCTCGAGTTGAGCTCCCTTCGCGAGGAGAATGCACATCTCCGAGCGGAACTTGAACGAAGTGATCGGGCCCTTGCACAGCCACCCACGGGCTTACTACACCTACGAGGGGGCAATCGGACACCAAGGTGGGGGAGATCGGCCAGATGGTGGAGCTCCTAGGGAAGATCCAGCTGGACCTCCACGGGCCCTCGGAGGGTTTCGAGGCGAAGATGGTGAGCTACGTGAAGGTGGATACGTGATGGGTCCTCCGCCTGGATTACAACGGAATATCCAGGCTGATGAGTTTTTCGGCCACCACGGGCCGGAAGCTGTACGTGGGGGTGATCATGCTGAACCCCAAGGAGGCCTAGGAGTACCTGGAGGCCAAGCAGAGGATGGTGGAGCTGCTCTACCACGAGAAACCCAGAAAATGGCTTCAAGTGGGGAAGCAAGATTGGCTGCGGAAAACCGTGGCAATGAGCGTGATGGTGGGACTGTGCCGCCATCGGGGGCGTCTATGAGGGTGAATGTTGACCCGTTTGACATGCTGGCGAGGGGAATGGCCCAGCTACAGAATGCAATGGCGGCGTCTATGTCAACGAGGAGCGCCGACGTGGAGCATGTGAAGCCCGGAATCTCTGGCTTTCGGAGACTTCTTGTATAGATGTTGGGGATTGGCTTCACTCCTTGGAGAATCCCATGGGCGACTTGAGTAACTCCTCGGCGACCTGGTGGCGTGAGGTTCTTCTTTGCTTGGATCGTTTCTATGCTGCCTATCTGAAGAGCTCGAACCTGGCAAAGCTTTCTTTGAAACCTGAGGCCTTCGCTAGCAGCGTGATCAAGGAGGACAAGTGGCTCAGGGTGGATAAAAGGGCTACCTCTATGCTTTTGGGAAGCTTGCCTGAGTCAGTGAGGACGGAGATTTTGGCATCGCGACTTACAGGGGCTCTCCAAGTGCTGGGAAGGGTTATGGTGCTCTACAGGCCAGGCAGCACGGCGGAGAGGCAGCAGATCTTGAAGGCGTTGGAGCTGCCAGCGACAGCAGCTACGGCTGCAGAGGCAGTTGATGCTCTTCGTCGATGGGCTCGATGGCTTAGAAGGGCGAGCGATGTGGGACTGCAAAGTCCCGACCCAAGCATCTTGTTGAGGGGCCTTGACAACATGGTGAAGCGCGTACTTCAAGACAACAGTGAGATCCTCTTCCGCGTCAACATGATGAGGTACAACCTGGAGGTGGACGTTAAGCCCACGCAGCGAGCAGTGGAAGACCTTCACCAGGCTCTTTTGTCGGAGTTTGAGCAAGTGGCGTTCAGAGGAAGAGCGAAGGCGACAGCGACACCGAGTGCCAAGGCTATGATGGCTACACCTGCGAGCCCTGCGCCCTCGGCTCAAGCAAGTGGTGATGCCAGCGGTGAGGCTGTGTCCCCGAAGGGCAAGAACACTCCGTGTAAGTTCTTCCTCAGCGACCAAGGCTGCCGAAGGGGAGCCGCTTGTAAGTATAGCCATGAGGTGGACCGCAAACAAAAGCAGGGCCGATGCTGGACATGTGGGAGCAAGCAGCATGTTTCCAAGGCTTGCCCCACCAAGGACAAGCAGGCTGGAGGCAGGAGTCCTACGAGATCTACTACAACAAAGCAAGAGGGACTTACAACAGCCACCACGCTTGCAGCTATGGCCCCAGAGAATGCGCACCCTAGTCCTACTATCCCAACGGGACCACCGTCGTCTACCGCATCCTCAGCAGCTACACCAGCGGCCTCTACGACAACAGCTTCGGAGAATACACCTGCAGCTCAACCACCGGAAGATGATATTCGAAGTTTGTTAAAAGAGGCCAACAATATGCTGAAGGAGATGCGGCAGCTGAAGATGTTGACGGTGGGTGATGTGTTAGCAAGTGCAACGGAGATGGGCATGAGCTCCGAAGGTGAACGAACGGGGCTCTTGGACTCAGGAGCTTCACATCCATATCGATCTGGCACTGATGAGGAGTTCAGCGCGGCTACGACAGTCAGAGTACAATTAGCAACAGGTGAGGAAGTGGCCCTTGCACAGAGTCCTACAGGAACTTTGCTGGCGAAGAAGGCGTCCCCGGAGGACATGGTGTCGCCGATTGTTCCGTTGGGTTCGTTGGTGCAGGAGCTGAACTGCGAGCTCACTTGGGGACGGAGGCGCGGCTTAGAGATAAAGCATCCAGTTCACGGGACGATCCGTCCCAAGGTGGTGGGACAGTGCCCCCTGATAGGGGAGGCCCAAGCGCTCGAGCAGTGATCGCCACGCAGAGGTCCTTGTGGTCTTGGGACCAAGGGTGCCAGTGGTCTCGTCACTTAGAGGCCTTCCTGGATGATGGTACCAGAGCAAACCAGCTCCTGGCAATGGAAGCAGCCGGGTCCCCGTTTGAGAACCTCTCGCCGGCAGTGAAGGGCGTTTTGGCCGAGGACATGGTGTTGGACGACAAGGCGGGCTGGAACTACCTGAAGGCACTACCCGCGTAAGCAGCTGATGTCTTCGCCTTGGATGGTCAATCTCTTTGCGGGCCCCGCGGATGGGACTGTGGAGTTCAAGGTCTTGGAGGATGGCGCCATTCTGGTGGAGATGGACATTGTTCGCTCAAAGTCGTTCGACCTTCGGAGATCTTCGGGAGCATACCGGGCGTTGGTGTGGGCTGCAGCTACAGGCAGGGTGAAGGGAGTTCTCGCTTCGCCTCCCTCTAGAACAAAGATGGATGATGAGCTGATAGCCAAGACTATGTGGTTCTCTTTGGTGGCCAAGGCGGCTTGTATTGTGCAGGCCAAACCCCCTCCTTTCGTGATGATTGAGGGCAAGAAGCTGATGGGTTACTTGGAGAAGACAGCAGAGGATGCAGCGCCTATGGGTATTCAGACTACGTGGTCCAGGTTTCTGGAAATTATGTGGCTTGAGAGAACGGGTGAGTTCATGGTTACCAACCTGGACTACGAGAGCCCAGCAACGACTACTACCACGAGCGCGGGAAGGTGGACAGCAACCTTTAAGGAGGAGACCATCAAGGCCATCAACAAATGGTTCTGGGCACCTGAGTCCAGACAAAGAGCAAAGTGGATGGCAAGAATGGACGCGGGCTCGTTTTTGGAGTCGTTGTCGAATAAGGAGCTGGAGCAATGGAGAGTGCACTTGCGGAACAACCACGTCCCGTACAACCGCAAATGTCGGACATGTGTGGAGTCTTCAGCTACAGGCCGGAAACACGTGAGGATCAAGACGCCATCGAGTTATTGCTCGAGCTTAGATGTATGCGGGCCATTTCGTCACAAGGGCGCGGACCCAGATCATGCCGATTACCGGTTCGCCTTGGGGCCTACGTTATTCCAAGGCTCGAAAGCGAAGTACGAGATGGGGGTCCACACGGAAGCGAAGTACGAGATGGGGGTCCACACGGAAGCGAAGTACGAGATGGGGGTCCACACGAAGGTGAAGTACGAGATGGGGGTCCACACGGAGGTGAAGTACGAGATGGGGGTCCACAC